CCCCAAAACCCCAAAACCCCAAAACCCCATCGATCAAATTATTAAGTCAAAATAAGTTCATTAATTAAATAAGACATCAATGAGATACTTCTGCTCATCTTTAGCAAAATCCATTTCAGCTAAACTAATTAACCTATAGTCTTTAAATCCATTTTATAATGCAAGTTATTTTGCTACAGAAGCTCTCTTTCTGGGTGAAAGTTTACCATCAGGCTATATACTATTTGCAAATTAATGATCGATGACATCTACTAATATTGAGTCATTAATCAAGAATGCAGCTTTTAATTAGTCGTTACAAGTCAACAGCCCTTTATCGTATTTCGCACCTCTCTCATTTAGTAACTTTTCAACAACTTCGATCAAATTTGAGTCTGCATCTAACTCTTAAATAGCTTTCATCGCTAGAGTTTTGTCCAGCTTCACCAAACCTCTCAAGGCAAGTTTTTCTAAGCTGGCAAAATCATTTTAGAATTACTCAATATCAAGAATTCCGAGTAAATCATACTTCTAGTAATCATCTGTATATAAAATTAAGTGCGCTAAATCCTATTGAGTCAAATCTTATAAATGAGCATCAAAAGCCACATCAATTGCTTATTATAGCTTTTAATCAATTTTAATGTTGAAATCAGCTGCATAGCAAATAAACTGCACGAATAACTTCTTATCAATATTTAATAGATTGGTTTCTTTAACTAATGTTCTAAGGCTTTGGTCCAATTTCTTGTTATGAGCATGCTCTAATCTCAAACCCTCAATGAGGTCTCTTAAGCCTTCAACTTTGACTTGCTATCTTTACTTTTAATCAGCAATTCTAATCTTGGTAGCATCTTCAATTAACCTGATACTTTCATTATCACGGTAGAAGTTATGTTAGGTAATTAGATAAACTTTGAACAGCTCATTAAGTTCATAAGAGAAGTAATTCTTCTGCAAATGAGCAGCTATCAATTCCATCATATCCTTATCTTCAAAAATCATGCCATGATTGAGTAAAAACTGAAGATAGTTTATCATAGTCGGTCTCTCCATATAGTTGAATCTATCCTGGAAATAAAATCTTAGCTTGACTAAGAGATCTGGTTGCTATTCCATAATTCCTTTCTCGTCGAAAATCTCCATTAGTTCTAGATAATCGGCATCTTGGAAGCAAGTAATCTCAAGAGCAGCGTTCACTAAACAATTGATAACCTTATCTCTATTAAAGTAATCATTGATTGCTTCAAATCCTTTTATAATCCTTATGATGTCCTTGATTGAAAAGACATAAAGTTCAGAGTGATCGTTAACTAGTATGTACTGCATTCTATGAATCAATTTCTAGTCAAATTTATATAGCATGTGAAACTATGCATTAGCTATTTGCTCTACAAGCTAGGCAAACTAACCACCTGTAATGTCTTTCTTACTGAGACCTAGGTACTGATCAAGATAAGCCTCACAACTTAGATATACTCCTTTCATCTTTGAGTTTTAAAAGTTAGACTTATTCCAAAACTTAAAGAAACTTTCCAGCATCATTATTACATCAGAAATGTTGCATCTGCTTAACTCTAAGCTGATTTAATCAATTACGTTTGGAAGAAAATTCTCAACCTCCTTTTTCATATCTTCTGGGTTTTTGAGACCTTATAGGAAACTTGGCTCCATTGCTAAAGTCAAGCCTTTCATTAAAAAGTGTAGATGCTCTATCTTAAGCAGCTTGACATCTGTGAATCTCAGGTCTTTTACTACTTAGGCAAATAACTCAGCATCTCTTTATTATCCATGCATCAAATGCTGCTAAGATAAGAAAAACAAAATAGCTGAGAGTTCTCCTGGAGATCTTGAATAATTACCTTCTTGTATTTTTTGCTTTATCAAATCACTAAAGTTTTCCAGACCCAGTCTATTAAGTCCATCAATCAAGTCATAAAACTTAACATTTCCGCTTTGATTTAGGAGTGTTAGTTTTAATCGAGATAATAAGAGTTAGAATTGCTTGGTGGTCTTATCAAATGGAATCACTATGTAGGCTAGATCATTAAAGATTTCTACACATTCCTCATAACCCATATATGTGTGCTATTGATCCACTCTTGAGAAGATCTCTTTGGTATCAACTACGGGTATTCTCTTTTCTCTCCTTTCTTGAATGACTGGAGCTGTAAATAGATCTGCAATGCTGATATTTCTCCTAGCTAACTGTGACTGCAACATAATTGCTTTACTGCTTTGCACTAGATACTTATTGAAGAGGCTTCTCTATTGGAAGATGAGTTTTCTAAACATATTTAAGGGAAATTTTAATGATGTATATAATTATTATTTAAATATCAATCGGGAAAGTAATAAATATGCTCGACTCTAAATTTGTTGTTGACACCTCCGACTCCAACATCATGATCGAGCCACAGCTAGATCAAATGAGTAGCTAGCAGAACTCTTAAAACTCCTATGCCATTCACAAGGAAATGCAGCAAATGGAAACTGTATATAAAAAACTCAATCACATGAACATTATGCGATTTGGTAAAGCTGTTACTAGACAGTCACAGTTAAGAAATCGTATCATATACCGAGGGGAACTTCAGATAAATATTAGCAATCTGTTTATAAATGGAGGATTTGAAGTATAACTGTACTCAGCTGAAATTCACTCTTAAGGTAAAATATCTTTGATTAAAGATATTTAGAGCATATTTAATAAGTATTACTGGAAATCAACAATAGAGACCTATAAAATATGGGCAAGTACTAAATAAACATAAAAAATGAAGATGATTCAGTACTTAATAAGGGCTAATAGTAACCTATTAAGTTAGTACCATACTCAGCAATTATTAGTAAGCTATCAAAGCAAGTAACCTAAGAAGTATAGAAACTGATGGCTACAGTTAAGAGATCCCTACACAGGATGAGCAAAATTTACCCGCTTCTAAAACTAATCTCTTGATTAAAGCCTCCTTAAAAATGCTTAAAATCTTAAAGTTTCTTGAACTGAACAACATCTTTGTAGCTGCTATGATATAAATCAACAAGCATTAAGAGAATCAATTCGAAAGTCTATTGTCTTTCCTACTGGAGAGAAGCAAGGACTTCTTGAGTAAAACTTACTCAAAGACAAAGGTATAGTAAGTTGATCCGTTCATACTAGACTATATCAACATATCAAATGTCAAGACCCCCTTAACTAAAAATTTTGTTATTTCCTCAAGGTAGTCAAACTCCACATAATTAGACACCAGCCAGGGTAATATTAATATGCCCTCTACAGCTAAAAATATGTTCAGAGGGAAAAAACTTTAAAACTCGCTAAGGATGGGAGAAGGAATAAATGATTACGACTATTCTAATTTGTTCAGAACGAATGGTGGCAATAGATCCCCTTTAAATTTAAGCTTATAAACACCAACTTCTTTTCAGTCAAGGTTTGATGATAAACTGAAGTTGCAATTGCCTTAAGAGTATGAATAAGACTCAAATATCAATTAAAGTACTAAGCAAGCCTAGAGAATATTCACTCAACTTAACTAGAGTAGAAGAGCCCAAAGCTAAATCACTCAATCAAGATAAACTGCTACTGCTGATTAGGCGAAACAATCTCCAAAGCAATCAAATCTTACTTTGAGCTACTATCTATCAGGTATGTAAACCACTAATCACTTTTTATATTACGGGCATCTTAACTGGTCGAGAGATCCATTATTCTCTTTACCCATCCAGGTGACCCAACATAGCGGATGATTCTATTCACTTCAATTTCAGCCATATGATATATGAAGTTTATTCCAATCATTACATTCACACAAAATTTATCTCTTCATTCAAATTTATTAACTAATATCTTTAGAAAAAGAATTTTACGAAGCAATCATGTGCTTTAACAAATCACTCAAAAGTTTGTCTAAGGCACACCTCATTGAACTTAAGAATGCTAGAGCTATGGATAAACAAATACTTTTTCTCCTTGGCTAGGTGCTAAAAATTAAGGGAGATACAGTCGTTCCATAACAAGAAATATCAAACATAATAATGAAGGAAGATCTGAAGCGTGTGCTGCTGAAGATAGACCCTTACAGAATAAATGTATTCGTAGCCTAAGATGTAATGAGACTCATTGATATTCAGAATCAAATTGAATTAAAAAGTGAAGAACAAGAATAGATGGCTGTTTCTTATTATCTTAAGAAGTACTTGATTAGTGCCTGCTAAATGTCAATTGGTAGACAACTATTCAAGTATAATGAAGGTTACTATTAGAAATACTAAGATGCAAAAACCTTGTACCTACTAAATCATCCTAAAGATAAAAACATTGACTCTTAATAGCTTATGGATCTATCTCCAGATTTTTAAGTCAATGACCCACCAAAAGTCACTGTTTCTTATAGATCATCAGTATCTCCAAAACATAATACAAGCCAAAATCAAGGTAGTCAAGTGAATTAGTCTTAAACTGGAATTTAAGGGTTTTCTTTAATGAAAAGAAGGATAGAGTCTTAACTTCCAAATTACGAACAAGCCAAGAAAAAGTATTTAAAGCAGGGGGAATTCCTAAAGCCAAAGCATTTAATATTAACAGATTTTCGAGTTCTTAGGCCTTCTTACAAAATTCCACCCAGTATACCCATTTTTAACTTGCATGAGACTTTGCCTAAAAATATTCTAAGACAGCATTTTGATGAGGTCGAGATTCCAGATATTGATCTTTACAATTTTTAGGATGCCACACTTTCGAGTAAGAACTTATCCAGATGTATATAATAATATAGAATTTGTAAAAGACTAAGACATACCAGTAGAATCTCAGTTTACTAAAGCATAAATCAATGAAGAGCTTGAAAAACTACCAGAAAAGTCAGATGATGTGCTAGATTATATAGCGAATACTGATCCTCATCATTACCCTACTTAGGTATTGATGCAGTTGGCTAAGCAAATGAGAGAGCGCAGACAAAACATTTATGAGGTAGAGTTTTTTCCATCTTAACTATAACCATTGTCTAGAATAACCAGAAAAAGCATATTATTTCAAAACGAAGCACACTCAAGAAATCATTCTAACTATAATGATAGACGTATTGATATTATATATCATATTTACCTATAATCCCTAATCACTGCTAGATGGGGTTTTGGGGTTTTGGGG